CTCTCTCTCTCTCTCTCTCTCTCTCTCTCTCTCTCTGTCTTTGAGCCTTAGGGTGCAGTGCAGGAAGAAAAGGTGTCAGCTCCAAATTCTCGCTGATGACTGCCGCGCTTTGCTCAGCGGCGATACTCGGCGGCGCTTTTAGCCGGCAATCGGAAGAAGGTCCGACTGGCTCGATCAAGTATGCTTGATCGGCCGCTTGACTCACACGAGTCAAAAGTTTAAATTGGCATTGTCCAAGCCTCGCCTTTTTGGCCGTGAATAGAGCAGGGTGCGAAGGGACTTTGACGCAGGCGCAAGCCTTTTCTGTCGATGACCGCGAAGTCAAAGGGGGCAAGTTCGTCTCAGGCGTGCTTGTTGGACATTGCGCCCCGCCATCTACGGTGAGAATTGTCGTAATCAGGAACGTCTCTCCCTAATCAGGATATGAATCGCGCAACATTCAAAGGAACGAAATTATCAGACGAAGATTTCATACGATCCGATTCAAGGCAAAACAGACGCAAGTGCGGTCCCAAGAGGCGCGCTTGTAGACGCTGAAGAGGTATTGGCGACGAATCAAGGTCCGTCAAAGTGGAAAGCAAAGGCATCAGAAGCTGTACAGATGGAAGGGGGCTGTTCAAAGTGTCCAGAAGCGGGCGCGGCAGAATCCAGCAAGCGCACAGGCTCCATTGCGGTTGGATCAGATTTCGTGCACGTCCACTAACCTCGAGCAAAGTGTGCGCTCTAGGCAGTGTAGATGTTGTTGGTCTTGACGCGCGTGTACCAGTGCTCGATTCTGCTCTTGAACCGCCAAGTGAGGAAGTAGGCGTAGACCTGCAATGCGAAGTCGGCCAACAAGCTGAGCACAAAGGCAACGTAGAGGCTGTGAAATCCAGCCGAGCACATTCCCGTTGGCATGCCTTTGGAGTCTGCCGAACCGTAGCCCGCTTCCACCGACTCGCCCCACAATTGCCCGCCGTTGTTGCACTCCCAGATGATCTTGTTCTGCTGACGATCCAGCTGGAAGATCATAAAGCCGGCGCGAACAGCGGTGACAATCAGCAGCAACGGCCACAAGAAGAAGCATAGTCGGCTGAACATGTAGGAGTTGTTGGAGAAGCCGATGATGCAGATAATGCAGATGGACATGATCGCCATTCCGATACCACCGTAAATTTGCCATCTGTATAGCATCCGTGATGATGGCGAAAGGTCAGCGTAGACTCCTCGTCTGAGCTGTTCACTCTGGCTGACTCACTCAGGGAAGTTGAAGAAGAGGTACATTCCAGAGTTGAAGAGCAAGATAGAGCCAGCCAAGTTGTAAAGCTGCACAGCCACCATCACCAGGTCGTTGAGGGCGTCAGCGCGGGGCTCACGAGAAGTGGACACCTTTTTCCAAAAGACTCACAGCAATGAATACGAAGAGAGCAATACCTCCCGCCCCTGTATGCAGATAGTGTGCGTCAAGGGTGAATCAGCGACGAATGCCTCTCCAAGTGAGTGGCAGTGACTCCGTAGAGCCCCGTCATGGCCCAACGGCTGGTCTTTCTATCGCGAGCTTGATAGAATCAGGTTCCGCACGTCCAGAAATCTTGTCCACGCTACCACGTGCAGGCTGACACGAGGCTCGAGACCTACGTCCTCGTACGCTTCCAACATGTAACACCTGCCGCAACGCCTCGCAACTGCTACTCTCGTCTTTGTTGAGTATTAGGCTTTCCCACTGCCTCGACATCACTCCAGCCGCTAAGACGAGGGCCCGTGGCTGCCGCATTATTCGCGTTCCGGACACGCGTCTACTCACGTAAGGGGAAGACTGAGGCGTTCAGAATGCATGGCCGTCAGTGACTCCTGTGGTGGATAGTTCCTCCGCTTTGGCATCCTGGACTCACTAAGCAAACAATTGTCGCACCTGTGAACGGAGCAAAGGACGATGAAGGCGCAAATGCGGTCAGTCCGTCGGTTCAGTGGGCGATGCTGCGACTTTGTGGGCGCAGCCCCTCGACGCACCACATGGTTGCCAAAGTGACGCTTTGCTGAGTGTTATGCGGCGGTACTGCTCAGCTGAGGCTCCGAAGTTGTCTCGTCGGGTCGTTGAGTAATGTAGGCGCACAAACGAATGCTTCGTCGTTTGCCTAAACAAGGAGTATTGAACAGGTCGTGAAAGAGCACGTTGGAGTACTCTGGGTGCGTCAGATGTCGTGTCGTAGGTACGTGACAAGCTCGTGAGATATCGTGAGTTGGTGGGTCGTAAAAGGACTTGAGAGGGGAAGAGGGGGCGTTGGGTGGGTGTGGGGTGTGGTGAAGGTCGGGACTATGTGTATCGACTGTCCTGATCGATGAATGTGCTCAATTCACATTCTGATTCCATTCACATTGCCGTCCATCGCCCATCGCCCATCATCCCACCGCCGCCGACGCCAGACGCGAGGGTCGACCGTGTCGGATGCACGCCTGCTGCCTGCAGCGCTTCCATCCATCCATCCATTCATCCAAAATGGGCGCGTGAGGGGCCATGCGGCGAGTCAAAAGTTGTGAGTCGTGACTCCTCGCCGAGTCGCCATCCTCCGCCTCCTCCTCCTGGTGCGAAATCGCGCGCACGTTTGCCCACCGCGCTTGTAGCGGGCGAGCCCAAATTTCGGGTTCGAGCCCCTGAGTGATCTTGACCTTTACGCCAAATGAGCAGCGCACTCGACCACTCACTCACTCACCACTCACGACTGCTGCTGCTGCTGC